TGTTGATTTGTTTTTACTCTCTCATTCCATAATTCAAAGCATACAAATGAGTACTCTGATGCGTTCTAAAAGAAGTATAATTCGAAGTTGCCCAGTGTTACAGTCTGCTGGATTTCCCTTCTAGATCTTGTTTGGTACGATTTGAGCAACTGCGTAGACAAAGATTGATCTTTATGTTTCAATCCCAACCCCATTGGTTATGGCTTTGCACTTGGATTGTCGATATTCCACACTGATCCACTCAAATTTATCAAGAATTATTACAAGCACACTAAATCACTAATATTAACTTAAAATAGGAATCACTTTTTCGTAGGCTAGAGGTTCCTAAACAGAATATATGCCTAGTTAATGTGAAGCTACCTGCATGTGATGCATATTAATGAAGACTTACTTTTACTGTGCAGCAGTATAAAGCAGCCAATAAGTTAGCCTAAGCACCAGATCCACTCAAATTTATCAAGAATTATTCCTGCACACTAAATCAGGAAAGTGAAACTAGCCTGCCATTCAATTTAGGCAACCCACCCACCCCCCTCCCTCCTCCCTGCACCAGGGTGGAGGTACAACTTGACTTCTTTCTTTGACATATCTTGAAGGGAGCCAGCCTGGATCATGCTGGACTGCATTTCGTGGTGCAAGTGTAACAATTCACTTAAATTTTCACGTAGACGCAAAGAACCAGTTATCTGATCATGCAGACTGAGGATTCAAATTTAATTATGCACCTTTGACCTCCAAAATTTCAAAACCCTGTGCAATATCTTAACTTATCACTCTCTTGCTAATTCTTTCTAAAACTCAAGATTGTCACCTTGAGTCATCATTTTACATCAAAAAATCTGAAAGTTGGATGCCAATTAATTGAGATCTGAAAAGCAACCTCTCGATTTACAAATGTAATTGATCGATTATCTTAGAAGAAGATATTCTGTATATTCCAGAAATTAATTATAATTAATTCCAGTTAACATGACGCTGTATAGTCACCAATATTAAGTTGATAATATGCCTCACCTCATTGGTTAAGTGTGTTTAATGCAGGAGACGACATAATCTAAGTTTCTCACCAGGACATTCAATGGTGCCGTCCCACATATCCAAGACTATTGCTAGAAATGAGTACATAAATGAACTCGGCAATTATTCTTATTATTGCTCAGAGGTCATTTGGAAGAATTCCAACAGCACAACATTGAATGGTTGAAAGTGAATTGGTACGATGAATATGAAGAGAAAGTTGTTTAGGAGATAAGAACCAACCTGCAATTATTCATTTGCTGCAAAGCAAATGAAGGAGAAGATGAGGTTGTGGTGGACACTATTTTTGGGAAAACTTCATGTCCACACGAAACCAATGTAGGTGAATGTTAGCGCCAGTAGAATGCTCTCTGAAGGGGTTATGGAGTTAGGCAGAGTTCACTGTGCCTCGAGTGACTTCAGGGAACATGTCATGTCCTATCGAACCATTCCATGGATTAATAACAGTAATTTTACTACCTTAAGCTGCCATTACCTTCCATCTAAATTTGGGCTGCTTTCGATACTTCGAACGTGGGCGTTGAGTGGTGAAAGTTCGATATTTTCCATATCTGCAAATAAGATTACATCCTATATATTTGTTCTTTGAATTGCAGCTAAATCATTTAAGACTGACGACGAAATTCAGCCAAATTTCCAATATTCGTCTAAAGTTAAACAGGAACACAACTTTAAGCGGGCAACACTATAAACCCTCCTTATACTACTGAGCTAAATTTTCACCGTTAAGCAGATGTATGTCTTGAGGTTGACCAACCGATTTGGCAATGGCAAATTCATTGCAGAAATTCATGACATCACGATCCGTCTGAGAGATGCATGGTATTTCACTTGGAGGATCTAGTTCGTGAAGGCAACTTCAAATGAGCTAAATCTTCTCTTCGTGGTTGCCTGAAACATCTCCACTTCTTCAGAAAACACTTGTTCAATTACCTTAATGGATTGTGACTAAAGTTGAAGAAATTGCTGCAATAGTTGAATGTCTCATGACAGAACCGATCCAAAGGGTCACCCAGATGTGATATATGTAGGCGTGTTGCATTGCAAACAGTATTAGAGTCACTCAAGCCCACTGTTTCACTTTACTACGATGAGTTAGATGAAGTTTAACCTGATGTATTTCCATCGCTAATGCCACCAATTTTCTTATTTTTTTAGAATGTACACTGTGGGGCTCCTATTGCTAGGAATTGTATCAGTGTCGGTGAAGTGGATGGTTCGTTCAGAGAATGGGGGTCTCTTGAATGTCATATTTCAAATCAAGAGCCAAAATCCAACTCACTTTCAACTTGCCTCAACATCGGACTTTGCATTTTACAAAAATTTGATTCTATTCAAACCTCAATCTCTCCCACTACTTGATGCTATTCCAGAGGAACTGGGGGGTGGGCAAAAGGGTGTGAAGCATTCCCACGACAATCCCAATCTCGAGGCTATTACTCTGTGGTTGACGATCGGCTCTTTTTCGCTCCTTTGCATTTCACTTTTCTTGGCGCTGATGAGGCCTTGCTGTCGTAGTCACCAGGTTAGTGAGAAGGAAGCAAGTTATCGGTTGACTTTTGTTAAAGTTGAACCTTAATTAGTAAAGTAAGAATTAATGACATGTGGATTTAATAGGGGGAAGAGGAGGTGGACTCTGTGGAATTGGCAAGACAAAGAAATCAGTCCTCGAGAAAAATTCTAATTGGAGCATCAATTTGCATCATTCCTGGCCTACTATGTCTCCTGTTCTTTTACTTCTCAAGTATGAATCTGCTGATTGAGGCTCTGGGTACTAGCCCACGAAATCAGACAAATGGATCAGATTCCGTGTCTATCGCCCTATTTGATGTGCTCAAAAGTACACACAGACATGTTGACTCCTTTTTACAAGAGAGCGTTAAATCCGGAGACGATTTCATTCACAACGACATACCGAAATTATTAAAATCAATAGGAGTAAGTCAGGCTATTGCCAATCTCTTGAATCCTATCATGTGTGGCTGAGTGAACTAAGTAATTGATTGGCTGATTTATACCCAAAATTAAATGCACACGAGAGTGTTTACATGGATTCGCATTCTGATACATCACCAAAATGTTTGTTTTTGTAAAGAATTGTTCTCGAAGTGATGCTTGTTCATGAAGCACAGAACACTGCAGCACTAAACTCAACAATTACCCTCTTCATTGCTTACGATTTTCTGTACATAGAAAGCGAAAACGAAGACATTTGGTCTGGGAGGTTGATTTGGTGCAATAGGGATATTCAGAGGCGTTTGTTCGAAACCACAATTTGTTAATTTCTACAGAAACATTCAAATCATGCCCGGCACGCACGTGGACTAAATTAGTCGGTCAATCAGTTCTCTTAGGAGTCACCTTCTTGATGCCCAAGTGTACAGTTGAAGAGTTTGTTTCGATAGTTGAAGTAGAAACGTCGAATCACAATGAGAGCACTAACAATGATGAGGTGTTCATGAGGTGCTGTGATCAACTTGCAGAAGTCTAGCCTTAAATGTCTCGGGATCAATGCTCGTTAATGCCTGATGGAAGATGGGGTTAGCCAATTGCCCTGGTTAGTTCTGGTTAACACAGCGGTTGCGGACATTCTAGTTTCCCTCAAGTGAGTCATCGTGACTCAAGTCATTTGTTTCAAATACTTGGTATTTTAGGGCTTGTCAAAGTCAATAATGTGTCCTTTGCCTAGTGATCAGAATAGTAAAAGGTGTGCATCTGTTTATATGTGGGTTTCGTTCCTCCTTCCTTGTTGCGGATATATTTCAGGGACATGATCACTAGATGGATGCGAAGGAATTTTACTCATTGGCCTTGGCACAGCTTGTGGGCTTCACTTAGGTGAATTTGGGTAAAGTAACGTCTCGAGTGTAATCGTGATGTGCACTTCGACAAAGGAATGAAATATGCACGTGTGATGGAGTTATTATTAGAAGGGAAATGTCTCATGGAATCAGTTTCGGTATCATCAATTAAAGGCGTCTCTGAATGCGAAACGCCAGCACGCAGAGTTGATGTGCAAGGTAACATTTAGGGTTTTATTTCTCAACCTGACGACACACAGGAAACGTGGTGCTTGCTGTAGGCTCTTTCTTATATTCGTATCCAAGTATTTTCGAGAAGGGTT